TGTTAACCATCCAGAAGACAAGCTTATTGTTATTATCAAACGATTTAGGCTATTAAGCTTAACCTCACTATCTCAGTGCATTTCAAACATCTTAGGCATAATAAGGAGCAGGTATTTTTCATCACGTATTGATATGTTGAACTTTAAGTCCCTGCATATCCTTATATTCACATTAACTATGTAGCTATTCATAATAATAATTAAAAATAAAAGTAACTCCAGTCAGGTGTGGTATGCACATCTGTAATTTCAGGACTCAGGAGGCAGAGGCAGGACAATCACTGTGAGTTCAAGGCCAGCCTAGGCTACAAGGTTGAATTTAAGGCCAGTAGGCCCTGTCTCAAGAAGAAAGAAAATAATAAATAAATAAGTAAGTAAATAAGTAAAACAAAATAAACAGGGCTGGGGAGATAGCTCTGCAGTCTAAGTGCCTGCCTGGCAAGGCTAAGGACCCAGGTTTGATCCTGGGTACTGCATGCCTATAATCCCAGCTCTGGGGAGGCTGTGGCAGGAGGATCACTGAGTCTGAGCAGCATGGGGAGACCCTGTACCAAACAGATAAATAAATAGATAAATAAATGATTTAAATAAATAAATGTACATACGTAAAGCCGACAAGCCCTATTATGAAAAATAATCAACTATGACCATGATAACAAATGCTCAGTAACAGGGTAGATGATCACTTCTCAGGAAAATCTTTAAAATGATTCTTATGTTTAAATGCTTTTTACTAGATCTCTCTGGAACCTTTAAGTGCCAAGTTCTACAAATCCTGATTGAGAGACTTAGTATCAAGACACTTACGTTGCTATCCATGGTGGAACGTCCAGCACCTTCTCAGCAAGCCACTTGTCCCCAGCCACATGAGGGGATACTTAAAACTTCCATTACAAGGATTACATTAAAAACTTCCATTCACACACATGCAAAAATAGCTCTAAAATGTTTTAAACTAAAAAAGTATGGAGGAAAGTATCTGTGGCATGAAGACTAACCATGCATATTTAATAATCATTGGAAGTCAGTACGATTATCACCCAACGGTTTCCCAAGAGAATTACAGAACACAAGTGTTTACAAATTAAGCCTGTAAGACACATAATACAATATAATCCGCTTTATGAGCCTGACTTTCAATTTTTGTCTGTCAAACAATGACATTAATGGTATAACTAGTATATATGAGAAAGGGTAAAATTTAGGTAAGCACTGACTTCTGTCCTAAAATGACGTGAGCCCCTGGGAGTAGGGAGAGGAAAAGAAATAAATAAAATTAAAAATCAATAAAATCTGGGGAGACTCACTTTCCAACTTTCTATTACAAAGCATTAGACAGGTGATCTTACAATTTCTTATGTATTCGATGAGCATACAATAAACAAAATAAGAAAACATACAATACCTGGTGCAGCATATGCAATACATTCTGTTCTCTTTCTTTAGCTATAATATCTTCAGCAGTTTCAGAAAGACTAGTAATATCAAACCAAGACTCAAAGCTGGAAGAGAAAAATGGTTACAAATTAACCTATCACACAAATTAAACTGTATAAAATACTTCATACTTTATAATTTATTCATGCAAGCATGGTTATGGTTGTAACTAATCCTCAGATGCAATTTTTAATCAGTAAAAATAAAGTGACTATTAAGCCAACAATCAAGAACTACAATCTGAAAGGAGACAGCTTTCTACTTATATTAACATTTTTGTTTGTTGGTTTTATGCCATAGGGATTAGACAGATCCTTAGAGGCACACTAGTGAAGGCTCTGTAACTAAGCTACAATCCCAGTCCAGGTAAAAATTGTTTCTGAGGAGTCGGGGAGATAGCTCAGTAGAATAAGCGCTTGCCTGGCAAGCTCAAGGGCCTGAGTTAAATCCCTGGTTCTGTGGAAAAAAAAAAAAAAAAAGCACTGCATGAGGTTTTTAGGGGGACACCTATACACAAACCATAACATATGCATATCATCAATGCGTCACTTCATCCATTCAGACAGGTGTTACTGACATAACACTAAGCAGAAAAACTATCTCTGGAACCCAGTATGTGCATCTCCCTATAGGTACAAGTCTAGCCTACTCCAACAAGTTTTTTAATTCAACAAATATGTAATTTGACAATGCTACCTACTATGCATTCTTCTTCCTAAAGTTAAAAAACTATATAAAATTAGTAATTAAGTATAGTTATTTATATTGTAGGTAACACTATACCCATCCAAAAAATACTAGTAATAGTCTCGGAGTAATTAGACCAGGTATTTCCAAGCAAAGAACACATAAAGTCTATCTTAAAAATTCGTAGTTACAACTTCTACACCCCTCAGCAGGCCTGTGTGAGGTCTAGAAATCCTGTCCTTTAGCAACAACATGCAATCAAATAAGGTACCTGGCGGGGACCACATTTTGTAATCAGATTTGGAATATACATTCTCAAAACAGTAGAAGCTATTTATCCATATTCAGTTAGCTCTCATGGGTATACACGGGTATATTCTTTTTTTTAACTTTATTATTTCCATTTTACTTATTCTTATCAATTGTTCTATCCAAAAATACTAATTGTTTTCTGAAGACTATATCTGCTTTTATAAGCAAAATTTAAAACCTTTTCTAGATAGAAAAGTACCAGACTAAATTGGGGCAAGCTTGGTTTCTGTTTTTGTTCTTTGCCAACTACTTACGTCTCCTAACAACTTTAAGACTAAGTTTTCCATGTGAAATAGAGAATTTATGTAACTTTTTAAGTAACCCAGGTTGTTTAGAAAGAAATATCTAATAGTGTTTTAGAAAATTAAAGTTAAAGGTATAGGTTTTAGTGTTTTCTTTAATCAATACAGTTCAAAATCATCTTTTATTCATCTGCTTACACACAAACTTTGTCAAAAAGTGAACACAAAGTGTACACCACAAAAAAATTTGCCAAAACTATCAATAAGATTTCATTAACTGGAAGAATTAAATTTGGCTAAGTCCATAGATACTTAAGCTTGAAGAAAATGTAGACAACAGCTTAAAAAAACATATATTAGTTAAAGAACTGGCTTACCTACCTTTTCAAGTCATCAAATACATCTGGCAACAAAAAGTTTAGCAATGACCACAGCTCTGATAAATTGTTCTGCAAGGGAGTACCAGTCAAAAGAAGTTTGTTATCAGCATTGAACCGTTTCAACTCCCTGATTAGACGGCAATTCATATTCTTAATCCTGTGTCCTTCATCTACTATTAAGTACTTCCAAAGGCAATGCTAGAAAATAAGTTGAGGGAAAAATTTTAAAAACAATTTCATTTTTTTTCTGCAGATACTTTTTTTTTTTTTAAGAACCGGGGATTGAACTCAGGCCCTTGCGCTTGCCAGGGAAGCACTTATTCCACTGAGCCATCTCCCCAGCTCCTGCAGATAATTTTAAAAATGAAATTTCATGAAATCCTTCATTTGTGACAATGTATATTACCCAAGATGTCAAGTCAAATATGCCACAAATAAAATTTGATCATATCATTTTTGCATCTAAAATTGACAACTTTAAAGAAGCAGAGTTTCCCAGCCTCCTGTGTGCGACTTTCTCTCGTACAGCCCAAACGGCACAGATCCCACGTGCCTGGACTGACTGGTGCAGGGCCATGTGGCACCACAAACTGCCATAAAATGCTTGTAGGGTCTTCTTCACATGTCCAAAAAGTAATTCTATTAGGTGATGCAAATGCTACCAAAGACGAATGTGGTAACTTCGCAGTTTAAACAGGAAAGGCCTGCCCCATATACTCCCAATGATTTTATTTTTTGTTTAATGAAATAAACAAAATTAATTTTGGCAAAAGTAAAAACTAAACTTAAAGTCTCTCTTCTTGAGTGATGTTAAATTTTTTTTTTTTTTTTTGCGGAACCGGGGATTGAACTCAGGCCCTTGAGCTTGCCGGGCAAGCGTTTATTCTACTGAGCCAACTCCCCAGCCCCAGTGACATTAAATTTTATCAAATGTCATTTGGTATCTATTGAGACAGATGACCATGATTTTCTCTGACTCACTAGTGGGATAAAGCAACAGGTTCCTAAGGCCAGTGTGCACTGCAGCAAGCACCACTACCCCATGGAATAATACCTTCCGTCTACTTGCTGCAATGCAGTTAAGAGGTCTGCACTCTCCAATCAGTCTAGCTTTTCTGTGTTTTATCAAGCTCTGATTTTAATTTCCTAACAAATACTAGATTTCCTAAAAAGTAACAGAAACCTTTTAGTTCCACATCCTCAAAAATGTAAGCACTTTATAATTCTTTTTTTTTTAATTTTATTTATTTATATGTGTGTGTGTGGTCAGCTCAGCCCACCAGGGG